AGCTTGAAAGCATGTGCTACAAAAAGAAGAAGAATGCTTGACTCACTTCTCATTACTTTACCTTCTTTCATATTTAAAGTTTGCTAGGCCTAAAGATCCCAGATCAGTGTGGAACATTAGGGTAGGGAGGTGGGAGGGTTATAAAAATAAGTTTGTCAAAGAAGCTTTATGTGAACATTTTAGATGTGGAGGTCCTTTAGAAAAGAAACAAATGAGCAATTTACCTTCAGGAATTTTTTTGTTTAATTATTTTCAAAAGTTTGCTCTTAAAATCATTTTCTCAGGATAAATAACTAGGCACTTGGGCATTAGGATGATTTCAGCAGAATATCAACTACAGAGAACATAAGGTCAAACTATTTAAAATATGAATAACAGATAAAATAAGTCAACTATATTCACATTTGGGTTCCTAAAAATTCTGTTTAAATTAATAATTTTGTTTAATAATAACAGATTCAAAGTATCCTGCTTAAATGATTTTCATTTTGAATCATTTTGTAAAGCAAATTATTATCTTTTAATTTATCTTCTGTGAAAATGAGGACTTTAATATATCATCTTCAAAATAAAAAGGAACAATTTTGTTCATTTAATTTTGGATCTTTCACGTATATATTGCAAAGATAGAGGGTGTCAAATATGTGGAACTCTGTGGGGCAAGCAATAGTTTAAAATTTACCATTAAGTATCCACTGAAAAATTTTGAACAGAGTGACATGACCAGATCTGTGAAAAAATTGTCCTTGTGTGACAACAGAATTATGAAAGAAGAGAAAGAATAGTAATGAGGGACCTATTAGGTCATTATGCCAATAGGCTAATCAGGAGTAGGGAACCTGTGGCTTTGAGGCCACATGTGGCCCTGTATAAATGATAATGGATAACACTAATACAAATAGAGAGAGGAGGTATATGTGAAAGATACTTTAAATAAGGAATTAATAGGCCTGAGTAAATGTATGACTGAAAAAAATAACCAGTACCATGGTGAGAGAAAGGAGTAAATGATGGAAGAACGTGTATGCTCCATAGGTATTCTTGGGATGTCAAGAGAACTGAATGAAAGAAACAAATATATTGAAGAGATCCCATTTGGATGACTTTGGAAAGATGTGGATAAAGGTCACATTGGATAGGTAATCATGGATGAATTATGTAATGAATTATTGGTAGGAATACTCACATTGATAAGATCATGGATCCATTATGTTACTGCAATAACTTTTGTCAAAGATGGGGGGAGGGGCCTGTCAATAGCTTTAGAGCAAGTAGAGTTATGTTCTAATTTAATATATTATCATATTTTAGGGCCACTTATAATTTCCTTGGTAGGAAAAGTTAGGTCCCCAGACAGCAGCTACTATGTCTTGTTGGGGTTGCAGAGGACCCTGGAGAGGGTGAGGGGAATCTAAGGAATGTTTGTCTGATGCTATAGTTCATGACCCCATACATACAGGCAAAAACATTAGTGTGATTCTTCCCAATTATCAGTTGATATCAATTAATCAGGGGCAACTACATGGGGCAGTGGACAGAGCACCAGGCCTAAAGTCAGGAAGATTCATCTTCCTGAGCTCAAATCTGGCTCAAACACTAACTGTGTGATCCTGGGCAAGTCACTTAACTCTATTTACTTCAGTTTCTCATCTGTAAAATGAGCCAGAAAAGGAAATCGCAAACTATTCCAGTATCTTTGTCAATAAAACTCCAAATGGGGTCATGAAGAGTCAGACATGAGTAAAACAACATTAATCAATTAGCAATATTTGATAATCTGTTAGAAAAGCAAATTTACTAACAGCATATAAAGACAAATAGTTACAAAACAATCTCCCTAAAATCTGTGATAATGCTCATCTATAAGTACATATAGAGTCAAGAGGAAAGTGGGTTCAAGCTCAGAGAACACATGTAGCAAAGGGGTAACTAGAAGCAACTGGTTCCAGAAATTCCTTTTCTTCCCTTAGGTGTGGGGTAACTTTTATGCCAAGTTGTATCGTCTTAAAGTTGCCTTTCATCAGTATGTTTATTTTTGACCTGACCTCTGAGAAAGACATTATATCAGTTGTTCCTAGGTGAGTTCTAGGACTTGAGAACTGATACAAAGTACAAGATCCTCCAACCTTCTGATACTCACAAGATCTTCCTCTGCTAAAGTGTTTGGGAGAGACTTAGAAGACTTGGCTGGGACTGGGGCTTTTCTTCATTCCCTCAATTTGTTCTCTTAGGCCCAACTGAAATGGTGTCTACTGCTAAGCTGAGAGGTGTGAATCTATGGGTTGTGAAATGGCTTGTTATTTTGTACAAACCCCAAAGTATATGACCAGTCTCCTCAATGAATGTGAACACATACATTACATAACAGAAGTTCACTTCCTCCAAAGTCTTTCGAAGACTTCTAAAGTGATCATTCAATCTACAAATGCCATGTCATATCACCCTTCATGATTTAAGGATTAATTTGACTTATTGTCTAATTGTCTACTGTATTTCAATTGATCTTTACCAAGATCCCTTGTTATTATTGTCCAGTCATTTAAGATTATTTGTGAACCCATTTGGGGGATTTTTGACAAAGTTACTACAGTGGTTTGCCATTTCCTTCTTTGGTTCATTTTACAGATGAGAAACTGAGGCAAAAAGGGTTAAGTGACTTGTCCAGGGTCATACAGCTAATAAGTATCTGAGTCCAGATTTAAACACAGGAAGTTGAGTCTTCCTGACTTCAGGTCTGGCACTCTATCCATTGTGTTTACCAAGCTGCCCTTACCAAGACCCTACTATATGTAAAATGCTTATTATCTTTTCCCAAAACCTCATCCTTCTTCTGATCATACAGATTCTACCTGCGACACCACCATTTACCTGGTCTTCATGCTTGAAACTTTAGTGTCATATTCAACTCTCCTCTCTCCCTAATTCAAATCCAATGATCAGAGAATAATAGATGTTTTTAGAACCAGCATGTTCCTCAAGTTCACTATGTTTATTTTTTTATAGATGAGAAATCTAAGTAACAAAGGAACTTCCTAAAAAGGTGAATAAGTTGTAAAATCTGGATTCAAACCCAAGGCCTCAGACTTCAAATCCAGCTGGCTGTCCACGGCATCATATTGCCTCTTAAGTCTTGTCAGTTCTATCTCTGTACATTAACTCATACCTACCCCATGATCTCCATTTCCATTATTCCTTACCACGAACATTAATCTCTCATTCAGTCTTTTTTACTATCATTCCTTCTTCCTTCATGATGCTGCCAGACTATGCTAGTTTATGATCTGGTCATTTCAATTCTCTGCTTGAAATTCTTCAATGTATGCCTATTAACCTAAATAAACTCTACTGCTTAGAATCCAAGACACTCATAATTCAAGAACTCCACTCTACCTTTCCAGCCTTACCTCATACAAAACTTTTATTTGGACTTGCTAGTCTAGCCAAATTGTACAAATTGAGGTCCTCCTAATGTGCCCTGCAATTCTCTGCCTCTGTATCTTTGTCCTATACCCAAAGTAGCCATCTTTTCTCTCTTTATCTGTCAAGTACTTAGCCATCTTTCAAAACCCAATCAATTTCCACTTCTGAGAAGTATTACCTGATCTCCCTTTCCCCCATCTAACAAATTTATTAACTTTTTAAGGCATTTATCACGTCTTCTTGTGTTATTATCTATATATATGTCTTCACTATCAGAGAGGTAGCCAACACAATATGATTTTTTGTGATCAAGGGGCTCCCCCTAACTGATAGTATCAATAGATATTGGGTAGAACTGAAGAATATATTTGTGTTATTTCCTAATAGACCTTGATATCCTTGAGGAAACAGACTGTGTATTACCTAAATTGAAATTTGCATATTTGTTGACACTTTCATGTTTGAATTGAGTTTACCGAGCAGAGTACATTTCATCAAATATTTTCTTAGAACTGTTCTCCCTTGAAGCTCATTTTCTGCTGGCCCCACAATGCTTTGAGAGATCATCTTGCTATTTTTCCTTATACTGTTAGATTTTCACTAGGACCAAAACTAAGACTGAGTGATGGTGCTTCACACCAAATGTCAACACCTGTTTGGGATATGATTCCACCTCTTAGGAAGTATGGTTCTTATCCTAGTGATAAAGCCAGAACAGCCTGCTAGCACCATCCTAATTTATTACCACCCCCACTGCTGCCACCCTAAAGTATCCATTGGAAAATCATCATCTGGCTGTGCTCCCAGTCTACCTTCTCACCAGGGATAGGTGGTTTGTCTATTCTTGGATTTCCTGGTAAGTGGCTTAGCAATCAGCAGCAAAGGAGGATTTGCTGACCATTGAGGCTAATTCTGTCCCACTCCATTAATTAGTCCTGACTAGTCCTTATCCTCTTCTGCCTATCTTTTCTACTTAAGCCTATGACTCCCTCATCAATTATGCAAATCCTTACTCTATCAATTGTTAGTGATATCTTCTTGGGCAAATCACTTCTCTTCTGTGATGGCAAATGAGGGAGTTGGCCTAGATGAGTTCCAAGACCCATTCTAAATCTAAATCCTGTGATGCCAGATTTCATTTTCCTTGGAACCTAACTTTATCCTGATGCCTCCATACTCTTGATAACTTTACAAGGGAGTACTGTTAGCTGCTGCTCCTTCTGATACTCAGGGCCAGGAGGAGGAGTTGACATATTCCTTGCTCACCTATGTCACTTTCTCTTTTACAGCAATCATCTCCCCTTTAAATTTGACTCTATACTATTTAGATTTTTGCTGCTGTCCTCTATGTACTTTGGAATCACTCTCCTTTTTGGAGAATTAATTCTGATTAATTGGCAATATGATTAATTGAGGCATAGCACCTGCCTGAACAAAGGGAATGAAGGTACAGGTAAATGCAAAGCCAGAAACACATATTGGAAAAGGACAGTACATGTGCATGTGGGAAACAGCAAAACCTAGTCTGCTACTCATTGGGTGGGTGTTACATCAGAGTATTTAAAGCTAAAAACCTCAATATTAGTTTATTCTCAATAATCGTTTCCAAGAGCATGAAACCTTGCATTTTTCCCCCTATGTGTGTGTAACCGGGATGTTGAAGCAGCTGGGACTTTCCAATATCGAAAAACAGCAGAGCACCTCATAATGGGTTCAGCCTTGTGGTTTCAACAGCAATCTCCCAAAGGATCACTGGTATGTCGAGCAGTACTGTTGCCTTGTTCAATATCTGGATAACAGAGAAGTTCAAGGACGCAGTTAAGATTAGTGGAGTCATGTTCACAATTCAGTACTGAGATCATAATTTTCTCAGTCCCAATCCCTGCCACCTTCAAAGACACAGACCTCCCTAGTTCCTCAACCTCTTCAACTCCCCTCTCTTCTGTCTCCAGTAAACTTGTCTTCCATACACAAGACTGATCATCCCATAAATCCTGCCCCCAGCTCAACTGAATTTACTTCAAAAAGTGAACTACCTATAACACTGTAACTTTTCCAGGGTAACTGTGCCTTCCATAGTCAGAAAGGGCCAGCTCTATATTTGATGCTTTGGGCACTCAAAATACAAACAGAAATAGTACAGTATTTTAAGGAAATTGAATCAAAAACTATAAGCGTTATGCTAAATTCACTTGGATTTTTTAAGTAGATTTTGTGTTATTTCCCACTATTAAAGGTATTCTTCTCTTCAAAATCCCTGTAAGGCAAACACTAAGATATTATTTTATTTAATGAAAGACCATGATATTAGGTAATAATATTTATTTTTGTGAATGTGTTTTTGCCCCCAAAAAATTAACTTTCCCATTAAAACTAGTCAACAATTCTTTATCTGAAACATTTAGAGTTTTGGGGAAATGATTTGGAGACACCAGAGAAGTCTCATTAAGAAAAAGGGATATCTACTTCTTTCAGTTCAGCAATTAATAAAAAGTGAATTGGACCAGAATATTCCCCTTCAGAATGAGTCTGTCTTTGGTAATTGCATTACTAAAAGCAACTCGCTTCACCTCACTGGCTTCAGTTTCCTTGTCTATAAAATAATACTCGCAATAGAAATAACAACAGTCACACACACATACACACACACACACACATGAACAAAATATAAATATTTTCAAAATAGTCTTGCTCCAAGTAAGGTGTGAGAAAATGTATTTTGTTCTTTTCTTTGCAAAAGTGAAAGATTGTGGATGTGGAATATTTAATATCTTGTTCAACTCTATTAATGTATTTGTCAGTTTCACTGAATAATGCCCCACCCCTTTTCATTATTATTCTCTGTTGCAAAGGATTAGGTTGGAGGAGACGAGTGATTTATTAAGAAATGAAGATATTGTTAAGAATATTTTGTATATATATGTATATATATGCATATATATATATATGCTAGAATTTATACAGCATCTTAAGGTTTGCAAAGTACTTTACATTTAATATCTCAGTTGATCCTCAGCACATCCATCAAAAGTGGGTCCTATTATTAATTCAATTTTAAAATAAATATCCTGAGTCTAAGGTAAGTGATTTGCCAAGAGTGATACACATATTGTGTGTGTGTGTGTGTATTGTGTATTCACATAAAACTTTTAATATTATTGGTTTCTTGGCAAATCTATATATTTTATGTTATATACTTGAAAACATTATTCTGAAAAGGGTTGTATCAGTCACACACACACACACACACACACACACACACACACACACACACACAAAACCCTTTAAGAATCTCTAAACAAGAGTACAAACCTTGGAGTAAGGAAGGCCTAGATTCAACTCATGACTCTGACATATACCAGATTTATAGTACATACCTTAACCTCCCAGTACACCTGGACAGCTATCAAAGGCTATAATCTAGGCAAGCTGCTGATGTGCATTGACGCCATTAGTGCTGAAGTAATCAAAGCACTAGACATAAACATGAATGTTATGTTATAGTGTGAAGATTGTCTTATACTTGAAGACTCTATCTATTTTGATGTTCATGACCAGAGATGGAAAAAGACAGCCAACCTCTCCCCCCCCCAAAAAAAAAAGGGTGTTTCTGTTATGGGGGAAAACATTAGTCCACAGCACTCTTTGTAGTATTCCAGATACAGAGAAAACATTGTTTTATTTTTCTGGAAGAAATCTTTCTTTCTTTTTTTTTTCTTGAAGATATATAAAGTATCTGTCATCTAAACAAGGGCCGAAAAGGCAAGAAAGACTAGGAGAGAATATCCACTGCTTCAGTTCAAAAAGACACTTGGATTTTTTTTTAAACTTTACAACCACATGCATTTAACATCAACACGTTTGGACTACCTTCATTATTTGAATGACAACTGAAAATCACAGAAAATGAAATCATTCTCTTTTTTTGAATTTTTGAGTTTGGATTTTGAATGAAAAATTCCTTGGGATGAAAGTTTCTATCTACTTCCTGTACTATAAAGGGCAGAGCCATAACTAGGATTTGTTTTTTTTGTACTGAGAATAAGAGGCAGGCTAATCTTCATTTGAGTAAGAGAGGTACAAGAATACTGGTATGAGGGTTGAATTAGGGGGGAGTTCACTGCTATTGTGACGAATGCTATAACTATAGTGTTATTGCTCATCTGTCAACAAGTATACTTTCTGTCTAAGAAAAAGAGATACTTCATATTTTTGTACTATTCCGAATTTTTTTTTTCCAACAGGGCAACGAGACATCCCCTATAACCTGGGGTACAAAGGAAGGCAGCTTTCAGTCTGATCTATGAAGGATTTATTAAGTGCCTGCTATGTTCTACACATCATGGATATAAAAAAAAAAGTAAAAGTCCTTGCTTTGAAGGAGATTTGCTTCTATTGGGGAATATAAAATTTGAATAGATAAATAAATACAATATAATTGAGAAGTGTTACAGGTATAAACCATAGAACAATCAGGAGGTAACATATGGGCATACGCTTCCAGGAAGCTAGGGATACTAAGAGGCAGAGGTGATAAAAGGATGTAGGCTAGAAATAGAGCATAGGGGGTAGAGATGGTATTCAGAGTTCAGCAAGAAGTTAGGCTAGTTTGGGTTCATTACATGATGGCATTCTTGCATGAGTCTTAGATAATAGATGATGCTCTTGCACTTTTCCAGTTACCAATGTAGAGAAGCAGAGCTGTGTGCTTGCCTCCATATTTTAGCATGCTGTTTTCTGCAATGTTATCATATGCCTTCGATGAGGATGAAAATAACATTGAGGTCAGTTTCCACAGTTATAGTAAATTATTTAACTTGAAAAGTGTACAAGCCAAGACTAAAGTAGAAAGACAGTTGGTGCATGACTAGATGATTGTGCACTCAACGAAGCTTCAGGCTGAGAAGCAACAAATATGGATTGATTCTCTGCGGCTTGTGCTAATTTTGGCCTAACAATCAAGAAAACACAAGTTCTCCACCAGCCAGCACCACACCATCCATGAGTGAAACCATCAGTTACAGCAAATGGAGAAATTTTGAATGCTGTGGATAAGTTCACTTACCTTGGCACTAAACTGTCCAGGGATGTATACATAGATGATGAGGTTGATGCATGTATTACCAGAGCTGGCTTAGTGTTTGAAAGGTTCCAAAGGAAAGGGTGGGAGAGAAGAGGTATTGGACTGTATTAGACTGAACTGAAGGTCTATAGAGCCATTGTGCTGACCCCATTATTGTATGTACATGAAACCTGGAGATTCTACCAGAACCATGCTAGGAAACAGAATCACTTCTTTTTGAACTGTCATAGGAAGATTCTGAACATTACCTGGCAAGACAAGGTAACAGGCTCTGAGGTACTTTTTCAAGCTGAACTGCCAAACTTTAAACTCTACTGCAGAGGGTGCCACTTTGATGGACTGGGCACATCATTCAAATGACAAAAATACTTTTGCTTAAAAGAATATTTTATAGAGCACTCAGACAAGGAAAGTGCTCACATAGAGGACAGAGAAAGCTATACAAGAACACTCTCAAGGTTTCTCTGAAGAACTCTGGAATTGATTTAGAAACATAGGAGATACTAGCACAGGACCACCCAGTATTGCATGTCTGCATCAAAGAAGGAACTGTGCACTATAAGCAAAGCAGAATTCCAGTAGGTCAAAAGATATATGAGATGCACAAATTTAGAGACCTCTCCACTTCAAATGGTCACATGGATCATTTGTGCCCAACCTGTAATAGAATCTTCCAAGTTCGAATTGATGTGATCAGCTCCAGTTGGACATACTGGACCTTGATGCCAACATAGTGACTCCAAAATGGACGTCTTTGAGAACCAAAGACAATGACCAATCAGTCAAGCAAGTTTGGTTAGAATAGGGAGAGCGTGAATGTGTGAAATGTGAAATGAGTCTGGAAATTCAACTAGTGACAGACGATAAAGGGCTTTGAATGCCAAGCTAAGGAGCTTGTATTTTATCCTAAAGACAATAGGAAAATACCAAAAATACTTGGGTAAGGAGAAGGGAAGGTCAGACCTTTGCTTTATGAAAAGTAGTTTGGCAGATGGGGATAATACATTAAAAAAAATGTAGAGACTCTTCCAGAGCTAAAATGGTGGAGTGAGGGGGAAACTCACCTGAGCTGTTCCAAATTCCCCTCCCAAAACCTTGAAATAATACCTCAAAACCAATATTAGAGTGGCAAAGCAGTTTTCCAGTCCAGGACATTTTGGAGGGTCAGGAGGAAAGGCCTATCTCACTGTCATGAGAGGGAAGTAGTCTCTGGTATAGGTGGTGCACTAAGGTCAGCAGTAAGGTCCTAACCAGGCACAAACCAACAGACAGGCTCAAACACTAGGGCAAACTAGTAGCAAGACCCTGATGTGGTGAAAGCCAGCAGCAAAGCCTAAACCAGGGTACGAGAAACTTGAGAGAACACCTTCTCCAGTCCAGGAGCAGAGCCCAACTTAAACACAAAGTGAAAAGATACAAAATAGGATGGGAAAATGAGCAAACAACAGCAAAAGAACTTGACCATCCTCCCTGTGGCAACAGGGAGGATCAAGGCCCAAGCACAGAGGGAGACAATAATATCAAAAGAACTACATGCGAAGCCTCAAAGAGAAATGTGAATTGGTGTCAAGCCCAAAAAAAACTCTCTGAAGAGATCATTGTTTTTAATCAAATAAGAGAGGTAAAAGAAAAACTGGGAAAAGAAATAAGAGTAATGTTAAGAGAATCAGGAAAAAGAGTCAACAGCTTGGTAAAGAAAGCACAAA